CAAAGTAACTGTATTTTCTCCTTGTCTCATGTTCTTTGAGGAGGCTAATTGTCATCTTCTCTGCATCTTCTCACCCTTTCCCCAGGAACTTGCAGAGGGTATTGTCCAAGAGTATGATAATCCTGGGCAATATGCAGATGGACAAGAGGACTAAATGGAAGGGTTGTTTTTTTTTTTTTTTTTTTTTTTTTGAGAGATCTACATTGTTTCCACAGAAGGACTAGGAAATTATACTGGACCCAGACTGAAAACATTACTAAGAAACATACTTCAGACAGATTTCATAATCACCTGACTTGTGTGGCACCAGCGGTTATGGCGAGCTCCTTACGCACTTCAAGACCATTAAAACTGTCAGCCTTAAGTAGCACTGAAGATTTGAAGTGATAAAAAGGATGATTCAGTCTAATATGTAAGATTGCCACAAAAAAGTGCTCCGCTGGTTTTCCAAATCAATTGCATTCATGGGCAACTTCAATTCTTTTGCAAGATATTCCTGAATTCATCCCCCCGTGATTGTTCCAAATTTTTGGAGGGCATTAAATAGCATGGGAGAGGTTTCCCTGGAGGTGACATTATGAGTTGATTATATTTTCCGTTGAAGGCAGGGAATGTGAAGAAAGAGAAGACCTCACTTTTGGATATTATTATTTTTTTTTCAAATCTTTAACTTGCTTTTAATGAAGAAATTTTTAAAATCTGTAATTCCCCACTTCTATAAATAAATGCATCCTTTTCTACTAAACATATCATGTAATTGAAATCATCATAGAAGATAATACAGACATATTTGCATTCACAGTAATTATCTAAAGCATGTGAAATAGTGATGGGGATATTTCCAAGAAAATTTTAAAAGAATTTTGTTAAGAAAAATATGTCCAACAGCATAAAAAGACAGTATATTGTAAAACCCAATAATTTCTTTGCTATGTAGCTTGTGGGTTAAGGCAGCTTATTCTTGAATTATACAATTTTAAAAGGGATTATCAAAATGTTTTATAGTTCATATAAAAATATCCCTAGTAGATACCTTTTGTATGTTGTGCCCAATTCCCAGTCATTTCCTCTTCTTTCACTGTGCCCTCTGATCCATATGGACGCCATGGTGATGATGGTGCTGGTGGTGTCGCTGGTGGTGGTGGTGATGGTGTGTGTGTTAGTCTAAAGATATTTTATTCCCTGCCTCAGTCACTGGTTATAGCTGGTTATAACAAGGGTAGGCAGTAGGCACCTGACTGAAGCTTTCTCATGAGAATTTGAGAATTGTGAGAACTAGTGGAAAATCAAAAAGTTTCAAAGAGAAGTGTGCATTCAAGAGAGAAAGAGAGATAGGAAGAGAGGTGGAGGGACTTTCCTTCTGGAGTGGTAACTTATAGCTCAGGAATCAATTGGTAGATATTCTTCAGCTACTCTGTAAAGTAGCTAAACAGAGCATTTTAGAGTGAATTCTGATACCTATAGAGAAGTCTCATTTAATTCTAGATTAAGTGATAAGAACATTTATTATATCATGTCCTGGGACATTACGAGGTAGAATGGGCATCAGAGTTGTTTAATTATATGTATTAACAATATCTTGAAAGACCTAGTTCTTTTCTTCTTTCCTGCTTTACATTTTCAATGTTTTCTTTATCCCCTGGCTGATGAAAGAATGGCTGCAGCAATATCAGTTACTCCATTCAGATATGATACCACACCCAGAGTGATGACTCTCACGCCAGAATCTCCCCCTGCCCAAGGGATCACCCTTAACAGCTCTTGAAAGTGAGTTTAATTTATAGTGTAAATTTATATTGCTGTTATGAGACTTCACACAAAAGAGGGCCATGAAGACTTCGAGGCTTAAAACTTCCCTCATAAGGTTCCTTTGAAGCACTACTCTGTGGATTTGGTTTATCTTACTGGACATTGGGTACTGACAAAGAGTACTTCCTGCTGCTGTAGGCAGTGATTCTTCCAGAGCAAGGTTAGTCCATTTTGACCCAAGGCACTCACTAGGTAAACAGCTGCAGGTTGTAGAGGTGCCTGTTCTTTTTTCTCCCCAGGAGGATTGAACTTCAATCACTGTTTTTAAAAATCCTTTTGCTTTCTTATGAATAAAGCTGCCCAATTTCTCTCCAATTGCAAGTTCTTCTTTATGTGAGTGAAACCCACTCTTTCCAACAGAAAGATGCTTGCTCGAACAAAGCTAGACTGGTATGGGACTTGGCATGGCTGAAGGATCCAGCAAAATGTGCAATAAATTTGAACTTCTCCAGAGCAGATGTTGGTGGAGTCACACATCTATGCTTTGAATGAGTACACAATCTAGCAGGATTTGTAGATAATATGTGTATTTGACATGAATATGGTGTAAGATAATTATCTGTTGGAGGTATGTGAAATGATGCTCAACATCATTAGTCATTAGGGAGATGCAAATTTCAAGTACAGAGCTAGTGTGATAGCTGCAACAACATGCTTAGATCTCAGTCATCTCAAACAAAAAGGTGAGAGACCCTTGGAAACTAAATTAGTATCGAAACAGTGATGTAGAAAGGAGAGGGGGGTTTTATTTATTTATTTTTTTAAAGATTTATTTATTTATTTATACAAGCACTGGATACAGTCAGAAGTGCAGGAGGGTGAGAGGATTCACCAGAGCCAGAGCGGGGAGCAGAGCAGGCAGAAGGACCAAAGTACACTGCTGAAGGGAGCAGCGGGCGGCAGGAGAGGTCTGCGCGCTATGTGGGACCCTCGCCCAGTGGCCAGGGATCGAACCAGCGCTGCAGAGGCTGTGGGCAGTTTGGCAACACAGCGCTCAACCGCTGCGCCACCGAGGAGGCCCAGGAGAGGGGGGATTTTAATATTACTTCACAGAGAATTGATGAGGATGATCAATTGATTTGGGGATGATGGCGTAGACTCTGAGGTCTTTCTCCAGCTTGGGCTCTCTATGTGGATCATTATCTATTGGGTGGCAATGATTACTTAAAGAATGGTTCTTAACTATGTAAGAAGTGATGAAACTGTCTAGTCATTTAATTCTGGCCCTGTGATAATTCCAAGACCCCCAAGAAAAAAGAAGCATCAAGTAGGCCAACCTTCAATACTTGACTGCTCAAGGAAATAAACTTATATCCTGACGTTTTTATAAATACAAATATAGGTAGCTAATAGAAGCATAATATTAGTAAGAGAAAAATCAAAAAAAGAGCAAAGAAAATGGGATTTCTGGAGCCAGGACCCATGGGTAAGGAGGAACAGAGGATGGAGGGTGGAGAATGTGGGCTGTCATGGGCTACCAGCAGAAGAACTGGGAGCCAGTTTGGAAAGCAGCAAACTTGATAGCTCTCTTGATTCTGTGATGCTCCTGTCACTCTGGCATGTCTAATTTGAGCTGCTGGATTTATTTGATCCAAATTCTATAACTTATTGCAGCTCACAGGAGGTGGTGTTAATTGTGGTCAAGGGCACAGGCTCTGGAGAGTATATTCCCCTCTCTGACCTTGCCAAATACATAAGCTGTCTGAACATCTGTTTGCTTCTCTGGAAAAATGAGATCCCCATGGGCCTCCCCGGTGGTGCAGGGGTTGAGCGCTGGGTTGCGAAGCTGCCCGCAGCCTCTGCAGCACCCGTTCGATCCCTGGATGCTCCCCGGCCACGGGAGGAGGGTCCCGCATGGCGCGCAGACCTCTCCTGCCGCCCGCTGCTCCCCTCAGCAGTGTATTTCATTGGTCTGCCTGCTCTGCTCCCCGCTCTGTCTCTGGTGAATTCTCTCACCCTCCCGTGCTTCTGACTGTACCCAGTGCTTGTATAAATAAGTAAATAAATAAATCTTAAAAAATAAAATAAATAAAATAAAATGTCTTTAAAAAAAAATGAGATCCCCAGCAGTTCCTACTTCTTAGGGTTATTGTACTAACAGAGTTGAAAATTACTTGTGTCCAAGGGGCACTTAGCAGTCCATAGTGAGTGCACTAAATCAGTCATCTCCCTCCTCCTCCTCCTGCCCCCCAACTTCTTCCTCCTGTTCCTCCCTATTGTTATTATTAGGCCCCTACCACATTGTCAGTGATATTAGAAAAAGCTTTAATATCCCAATAAGCCTTTAGAAAATAAGGACACACTTTAGTATTTGTTACCAGAAACAGTCATAACATCACCATTATTCATCTAAGCTCATTCTCCCTGTAGTTACTCACATATGCTGTTGTATTAGTTATTTGCATATGCTATTGTATTAGTTATTCCCATATGCTATTGTATTAGTTATTCGCTTATGCTATTATATCAGTTATTCGCATATGCTATTGTGTTAGTTATTCCCATATGCTATTGTATTAGTTATTTGCATATGCTATTGTATTATTCACATATGCTATCGTATTAGTTATTCCCATATGCTATTGTATTAGTTATTCGCTTATGCTATTATGTTAGTTATTCGCATATGCTATTGTGTTAGTTATTCACATATGCTGTTGTATTAGTTATTCGCATATGGTATTGTATTAGTTATTCGCTTATGCTATTGTATTAGTTATTCACATGTGCTATTGTATTATGGTGTGAAAAAAAAAGCATGACTTTGTGATGAAGCGTAACAGAAATTTAGTGACTTCAGTCCTGCCTATATTCCAATTCCTATTCGATTCCAGGAAGTTATTAAACATTTTTTGCACCTTAGCATCTTCAGCTAAAACAAATGATAGTAATGGTCACATAGGGCTCTTAGAAATATCTAAGTGGAAAGCATTCACGCTTTAACACTAAGTACAGAACTTTATAGAGCTGTTGTATGAGTTAGTGAGTTTCTGTAGATGTGACACTAAGGCACTAGGGAACTTAATGTCACCTTAAAATTCATCGCCATACTAGCTTTAAAGAAGATTGCTGCCGTGACGCGTCAGTACGTCTATTCATAAACAGACACACCAGTTCAAATCCCTGGTCGCATTCACTTCATCAGTAATGAATACTTCGATATTAAAGCAGCTTTTCTGGTCTTGTTGCAGGCTTTGTGGATTTGACCCTCCACGATCAGGTCCACCTTCTGGAATGTGCCTGGTTGGAGATCCTCATGATCGGTCTGGTCTGGCGCTCCATGGAGCATCCGGGGAAGCTCCTTTTTGCTCCGAATTTGCTGCTAGACAGGTGAGTGATCTGACTGTAGTTTGGGGGAAGCGCCTCATTTATAATCACTACTTTATTCCTGAAGCCCTTTTACTTAGCACTCCATCAAGCTCCCACCAGATTTATCAGATATGTTTACACATGAGTGAATGCAGGTGGCAGAGGATAAATTCCCACTAGACCTCTCAGCTGCACCTCACTATTTCACACATGTATCATTTACCAGCTCATTCAAGTTTATATTCTGGGTACACAGTTGCTGAGAACAGTCATGCAATCACTGCATTCTGAATATGTGTATATATGTGTATATATTTATACATATACTTATGTATGTGCATATATACACAGGTATGTGTTCGTGTACAATTATCAACTGTAACTTTCCAGCTTCATCTTCATCTTGTATTCTATAGAAATAAAATAACGAATCACCTTCATTTAATAAAAAAAAATTTTGGCCCATGTACATCCCAAACAAAATAGGCTTGTCATTTCCTTCCCATCAGGAAATGAGGAAATTTGACCAGCATTCTGAAAGCCACTTCCAGCTCTATGACTGCCTATAAGCTACTTGCTTATTTTAGAAAATGAAGATTTTGATTTTCAAATATGCTACCTTATTTATCATATTATATTTGGGTGGACTTGAAATATGGCTTCTATTCCTTCTTTTTCAGTGCTTGCTTGGGATAGGGTTTACACATTACTCAACAGCAGCTACCACCGACTGAGTCCCACCGGCACCGGCTGCTGTGTGAAGCGCCTTAAATACATGATCTCATTTAATCACACAGCTTTCCTGGGGAGCTTATAGCTCACATTTTATCAGAAGGAAGTTAAGTTCAGAAACATTCTGCTGTTTGCAAAGAGCATGGGCCTGGCTAGATAACGGTGGAGCCAGGATGGAATTTAAGATCTCGCTGGCTTGGGGGCACACTTGCACAGCTTCCTGTCCTGTGTGCAAGACACACTTTTCCTGTTCACACTCCTCCTGGTCACACTCTTCCCTTTCACAATGCCTCCTTTTGGTTGACTGCTATCACTGTTGTTTCCAGCCGTCTCTTGTCTGTGGGCTACAGAACACTTGGACTGGAAAGGACCATCTTCTAACTGTCTCTTGCAAACTTTTTTTGCCTCCGCTCAGCAGCCCTAGGCTCCCAGGGTCCCGTGATGCCTCCTCGCACGTCCCTCCACTTCAGAGTTGCCACATCTCCTGTCTTGCCTCTCCACACCTGCCAAGCCCCCTGGAGCAGAGTTCCAGCAAAATTTCTTTAAGTGCTAGAGAACTGGACATGTGTTGGTTACTGTTTGTCATGTTGTGTTACTACAGTTTTTGGAAAACAGTGATGGTACCGCTCAGGGAGCAGAGGCTGCTGTCTGGGGCATTTATTCCCAAATCACACTCTTGAGAGATCACGGAGGGTGATCTTCTTTCTTAGAATCTCACACACACATATTCTGTCAGCTTTCTAGATGCTTCTATGGTGCCTTTTCCTTTCCTCTCCTTCCCCTTCCCTGTTTCTCTTGTCATTTTCTCCTCTTCCCTCCTGTTTCCCTTATTTCCTCCTTTTCTTTACACCAGTCTCATTAACACATTTTTTTCTTGTGTGGTAGCAGTGTGGTTCCATGACCAAATTTTAACAAATCTGTCAATGGAGATCTTGGACCACACACAGTGGCATGTGTTTTCAGTGTTGAGGGTGCTGGATGGCCACACCTGAGCTGACCTGTCCGGGGGTGACCACCTCGTTCATGCTGCCTCTGGCACGCCCTCTCTGAACGCTGTCTCCAGCCGCTGCATCCTGCATTTGAAAGGACTGTGACATTTCCTGACCCAGTGAACCCGTTTTGCCAGCGAGGCAGTGTTGCCTAGGATTTTCTCAGCTCCCTACTTCTCTTTCTTTCCCACACACTCTCATTATGGCTAATTTTCTCCAAACCACTCACTGAACTATGAGTGACTATAAGTCTCAGCTTCTGCATTTTTACTTCCAAAATTCTAGGCTTGGATGAAGTTCCTTTGACCAAGATTTCTCACCTTCTGCACTATTGGTGTCCTTGGCTGGGTCATTCTTTCTTGTGAGGGTCTGTCTTGCATCTTAGATATTTGACAGCCTCCCCAGGGCTCACAGTACCCCCGCTCCTGTGATTAAAACACAGGTGCCCCCAGGCATTCCTGAATGTCCCCTCTGGGGAGAAGGAGAGGTTGGTGCACAGTTACCCCTGGTTGCATCTGCTCCCGCCTCAATGACGCCTGAGCGCTCGTCTTACCCTGTCTCTCACTGAGTGCGTCATTTTCCTCATGAGTCTGTTCCTTTTGTTGTCTATGTAAATGAGATCAACACTCACTTAGACGATGAAGCTCTCAAGTTTGAATTAACCATGGACTCTGTTTCCTCCCTCACCAGATTAACCAGTGAACTATCAAGTCATTTCTGAACGGTGTCTTTTTGCCTCCCTTCCTCGGCTCTGGTACAGGCCCCTGTCATCCTGGGCTAGGTTCTTGCTCTCTTCTGCGAGCTCTCTTCTCTCTGACACCTCCCTCTTCCCTTCAGTCCTTCTGATGCATCCAGATTCAGCTTCCATTGGCTCTCTCTTCTCTTCAGAAAGTACTGCCTGGACCTCTAATCTCCATAGACAAGGAGCCCTATTACAAATGGCTCAAGCACAAGCAGCTTGCAGAGCTGCTTCGGTGATGTGCTGAGGAAGACAAGCGCATGTGAGTAAAAGAGGGGGCTTTGGGGAGCAGGTGAGCTCTTGTCCTGGGCACTGAATTCAGCCTGAGAAAGTGATTTCACACTGCAAGTGTTTCCTCCACTGAAAGGCTCTCTATCTTTAGGATTCCTTGTCAGAGTTTTATATATTCTTTCAGGCTCACTTCAGATGTCATTCTTCCATTAAACCTTTCTTTAAACTCTCCTCTTTGAATAGAGAGGAGCCTTTATGTTGCCTGCATTTGTACAGGGTTTCCTTTCACTTCTAGTCTCTCCTGCTAGATGCTAGCTGTTATCTCCCCTCCTGTTTCATAAACTTCCTGTGGGCAGGAACCAGATTTTATTCATATTTTTGTTACCGCCAATGCACAGAGTCTTCCATGATTCCCAATTAATGTTTGTTAGTTGCACTGATCCAGGTACCCCCTGGCTTATAGCTTATCTGGTGGTCTGTCTCTTGTTCTGGTCATATTTAGGTCCATGTTGGAAATTAGAAAATCAAAATTTTATAAAAACTCATGTATTTCATGTTCATTGTTACTCATCAATTCCCGAATTGCCCCATATAGATGGAGCAGAAATTAACATCCGTTTTAGAAAGGTTAGTTCAATTCCTAAGTGCATCTGGCTTATGATTGCAGTTCTGGTTATATAACTTTTAAATTCCAACTTTTAAATTCCAAAGGGTATATATAATAAGCACAAGATCTTATTTTTCCCATATCTAGAGCCACTCTCCCATACAATCTTAAAGATAATGCATTAAAAAGATTTAGGAACATGTCAATGATTAAAAAGATATCTAATTCCTTTTCTAATTCTTAACATGGACCTAAATATTATAAAATTTCTGTATTACTCTCTTTGGTATTAGACAATAACGGCTTTTGATGGGATTGATACATGTATAATAGTAAAAAATATTACAGCTTATTTGAGATTTTATACATTTGGAAGATGGCTTTTAAAAATTATGTTATCATTGAAGTAACATTGATTTACAACATTGTCTGTTTTAAGGGTACATGTTCATACCTCTACAAATATATATTAGCACACCATGCCCACCACCAAAGCCCAAATAATCCCACCAGAGTCCTTTGGGCCTCTACCCTACTGTGTCCCAGCCCTGTACCCTCACACTTCTGGTAGCCTCAGTTCTGTGGCCATATTTCAAGGGTTTATTTTGTCTCTTTCTTTGCTTTGTTTCTTTAGCTCCCACATGGGTGAAATCATCCAGTATTTGTCTTTCTCCTTCTGGTTTATTTTGCTGAATGTAATACCTCCACTTCCCTCCATGTTGCTGCAGTTGGCATAATTTCCTCTTTTTGATAGCTGACTAGCATTCCATTGTCTTTGTCTTCTTTGTCCTCTCATCTGCTCTTGGGCATATAGGTTGTTTCCATAACTTGGTCATTGTAAAGTATGCTCTAGTGAACACCAGAGTGCATAGATATCCCGTCAAATTCATGTTTTTGCATCATTTGAGTAGCTACCTAGGAGAAGGATTGATGGACATATGGTAGCTCTATTTTTAATATTTTGAGAAATTTCCACTTTTCCATAGAGGCAGATGCTGTCTATATCCCCACCTATAGTGTATAGAGGTTTCTTTTTTTCTATGCCTTGGACAATACCTGTTATTTCTTGTCTTTTTTGATAAGGAAATTCTCAGAGGTGTGAAATAGTGTCTCATTATGGTTTCAGTTTGCATTTCCCTGGTGATAAGTGATGATGAGCATTTTTTTCATGTGACTGCTGGCTATCTGTACGTCTTCTTTGGAGAAATATCTATTTTGCTTTTCTGCCTCTTTTTTGATTGGTTTATTTGATTTCTTATGGAATTGTGTGAATTCTTTGTAGAGTTTGATATTAGCCCCTTGTTGATGTATGATGAACAAATATTTTCTTCCATCTGATAAGATGTCTTTTCATTTTAATCATAGTTTCTTTTCAATTACAGAAGCTTTTTGGTTTGATGGAGTCTCATTGATGATTGCCTTTCTTTCCTCTGCCTCTGTAGTCAAGTCCCCAAAGACACTACCAAAGTCAGTGTAATGGAGTGTTTTTACCATGTATTCCATGGTTTCATATTTTACATCCAAGTCTTTGATACATTTTGAATTAATGTTTATGTGTGGTGTGAGATAGTGATCTAGATTTATTATTTGGATGTGACTGTTCAACTTTCCCAGCATCATTTGTTGAAAAGAATTTCCTTTCTTCATTGAATGTAAAATGACAAACTACAAAATAATTATAGAAAAGCCTGTTGTGTTTCTATATGCAAACAATGAACTAGAA